TGACGGTTCCTCAGGAAAATGGAAATCAATCTACCTCAAAATCCAGTAATTCCACCCTTAGGCATATACCCAAAAGATACACATTCATACAACAAGGACATCTGTTCACCTGTGTTCATTGCAACATTATTTGTAATAGCCAGAACCTGGAAGCAACCTAGATGCCCCTCAAGTGAAGAATGGATAAAGAAGATGTGGCACATTTACACAATGGAGTACTACTCAGCTTGGGGGGGGGGGGGGAACCCAGTGGATTTTGAAATGCACAGGCAAATGGATGGAACTAGAAGAAACCATCCTGAGTGAAGTAACCCAGTCACAAAAAAGATAAACATGGTATGTACTCACTCATATATGGATTTCAGACATAGAGCAAAGGATTACCAGCCTACAACTCACACGGCCTGAAAAGCTAGAAAACAAGGAGGATGCTAAGAGAGACATGCATGGTCCCCCAGGGAAGGGGAAAGGGACACGATCTCTGGAACAAATTGGAAACATAAGGGGGAGGGGAGAGGGAATTAGAAGAAATAGAAGGGGAGAGGAAGAGGGGAGAGGAGGGCATGAAGGAGCAGGAAGATTGAGTCAGGGAAAGAGGAGATCAAGAAAAGAGATACCATAATAGAGGGAGTCATTATAGGTTTTAAGAGAAATCTTGCACTAGGGAAATGTCCAGAGATCTACAAGGATGACCCCAACTAACAATCAAAACAGTAGTGGAGAGGCTACCTTAAATTAGATTGTTGACTACCTTATATGCCATCCTAGAACCTTCATCTAGCTGATGAAAGCAGTAGACACCCAGAGCTAAACAGTGAGCCAAAGTCCTGGAATCCAGTTGCAGAGAGGGAGGAGTGATGAGCAAAGGGGTCAAGACCAGGCTGGAGAACCCCACAAAAACAGCTGACCTGAACAAGGGGGAGCTCATCAACCCCAGTCTGATAGCTGGGAAACCAGCATAGGACCGACCCAGACCTCCTGAATGTAGGTGTCAGTTAGGAGGACTGGGCAGTCTATTGGGGTCTCGGTAGTGGATCAGTATTTATTCCTAGTATCCCATTCCTCATAGAGGGATACCCTCTCAGCCTAGACACATTGGGAAAGGCCTAGGACCTGCTCCAAATGATATGACAGACTTTAAAGATTCCCTATGGAGGGTCTTACTCTCCTTGGGGAGCAGAAAAGGAATGGGATGGGGGTTAGTGGAGGGGCATGGGAGGCGGGGAGGGTGATGGAACTGGGATTGACATGTAAAACAAGCTTGTTTCAAATTTAAATTAAAAAATTATCAAAAAAAAAAAAGAAATTCTTTTTAAAGAGGAAGTTTCCACCTAGATATAATCTATCACAACCTCCCAAATGTTAACAAAAATACTTAAAACTAAGCTTTCTGAAAGGTGAGAGACAAGAGTAGTATGTACTTTAGATATAAAAACAAACTCTAACATCATCTATAGAGATTTAAAACTTAAGAAACCACAGGACATTTGACAACTACAGTAGAAAGGCAGACAGGGTAGAGACAGACCTGAGCAATTGCTGTGTCCCTCCTGCATCGTAGATAAATATTATGAAATAAATAAGATGTGAGTTCCTAGAGCAACAATTAAAAAATATATATAAGTGTTGTTATGGCCTCACTAGAGAAATTAAAAGGAAGTTCTGAATATTTAATCTAAAAAATACAGGATAGGAGAAACAAAAGAACAAAAATATTGGTGATAAATAAAATCATAAAAACATTGTATACAAGCCAAACAGTTCCAATAATTATATCAACCACAAATCAAATGAACTGTCCAATTAAAAAGGCAGAGTTTGTAAAAAAATAGATCTTTTAGAAGCAAGATCTAACTATGTGCTATCTTCATGGCATTTATTTTTAATGTGAAGGGCAGAATGAATATAAATAAAAAAATATGCTATGTAAGCTCTGTAGCATAAATAGATGACATTGATTAGGTTGATGCCACAGAAAGTAAAAGTTAAAATGAGAGTATTAGCAGAGATGGAAAAAGCATTTCATAATAATGGGATCTATTCACCCTGAGAATATAACAGTAAGAAAGGTGTATGCCCCAGACTCCAGACCTCCAAGAGCAATATGCATACAGTGGCAGATTTGTGGGAAGAAATGACAACCCCGGTCATATTAGAGTTTGGACACAACTGTCTGAGATTAGATGACCAACTCCATCTCCAAATCAGGACAGACACAGATCTGAACAGCAACAAGATGTCACTTCTTTTCTCTTGCTGTAACAAAATAAAAGAAAATTAAAAACACCTAACCAAAACTTACTGAAGGGTTTTGTTTTGGTTGGGTTTGTGGGTACATCGTTCATCCTGACGTGGAATGCATGATGCTGGGAGTGTGAAGCAAGTGGTCACATTGCATCCACACTCAGGAAGCAGAGTTGAATGCTGAGGGCTTGCTAATTTTTTTGCCTTTCATCATCCCAGACCAAGAGATGGTCATCGCTAATGAGATATTAGCAAATGAAACAAAATTCAATGATACGTGAAAAGGTTGAACCAACATATCCAACTGGGATTTGTCTGAGTTATGGTTTAAAACTTGAAAACCAAGCAATGTCACTCTTAAATGAGAGATGCAGTGTGACCATTTCAATGGACACAAGGAAAACATGTGGCAATTCAACAAGCAGACATGACAAGCCCTGCAGCAGAATTTCAAACTATGGACATTGACCTGGGGTAAATGGCTCTGCGGAGATGTTCCAGCCTCTCACAATCTGGGGTCAGGGCAAGGCTACTGCTGCCTCTGAGTAGAACTATTACCTCTATGGAGACTTGGGGTGGCACTTAGGGTCAGGAAAAATCCACCCTACCGAGAAGCCTCTGACCATCTAAAGTCTGATGTCCACACAGATAACCATTCCCTTGGAAACATCCTCAAAGGTGTCACTCTGAGGAGACCTGACCACTCTCCTTTTAACACTCTCCAGAAAACAAATGTCCCAGCCTCCAGGGCTCCACCCATTCTCTGGGAACTGATGGCTTTAGGGCGTCTAATGCCTCTCATCAAATCCCTCTTTTCCAATGGTCTGGTCTTTGGTGATCTCACTTACAACCCCTGTGACATGGGCCTGTCACAGCACTGTGCCATGGCAGGAAGCGGCTGCTTGATTTGGTAAAGGAATTCTCAGGAAAACTTGGAGGTGACTTTGTCATCACCACAGGAACCAGCAGCCTCTCTCCCACTAAGCTCAGGAACAAAGCCAAGGAAGGGAGGGAGCTCCGCAGGTACAGCCCACATGAGGACCTGAGTTGAGATCCCCAGAACCCATGAAAATCTGGGTGAGCATGGTGACACATTGGTATTTCTAGCACTCAGAAAGTAGAGATGTGGGGTCCTCAGAGAACACTGATTGGCACATTAGCCTTATATCGGTGAGTTCCGAGTTCAATTGAGAGACCCTGTCCCAGTGAATAAGTCAGGTGACTGAGGAAGACTCAGGCCTTTACATACATGTGGACACACAAACACACACACACACACACACACACACGTTCTCACACATGGATGTACACATACATACCATGAAAAAAGAAAAACCTCAAGGACAAAACAGAAATGCCCATCCTTGCGATTTCTCAACTCGTAATGGGGAGTTCAATCATTTCAATAAAGTAAGAACCCTAAAAGCACCAGGCAGGAGACAAAGGTTAAACTACCTGCCCTGGTGAGCTCTCTGTTGTTGTAATAAAACTCTGAGCAAACCGATGTGGGACTGAAAGTGCTTATTTCAGCCCAGAGCTTACAGTCTAAGAGAAGTCAGGGAAAGAACCTGGATGCACGAACTGAAGCAGAGACCCTGGCTGCTTACTGGCTTGCTCTCCTATACAACCCAGGACCACCTGCTTAGGGATTGTGACACCCACAGTGGACTGGGACCTGTCACATCATGATGATGCTTATGGGCCACTCTGATGGACGCAAATGCTCTGCTGAGGTTCCCTCTTCCCAAGTGACTCCAGTTTGTGTCAAACTGACAAACACTAGGCAGGACATACAGCTCTGATCATATGGAAGATTTCCTGATAAAATCTCCTGGAAGCTACACTCCAACTTTCACTATCAGCTATTTAAAGAGCAGGGTTTCTGGGGCAGCATTTGCACTCGGTGTCTTCTGGCAGTGGGGACTTCACAGGGATCTCCTGTTTACCCAGAGATGCTATGTAAGGACGAGTGCCTTCTGTAAACACTGACCAATCTACCAGGACACTGGAAGTCCCTCTGGCTCAAAGGGTGGTGCAAGTCACTGGACAATACAAATACCTAACACTTTTACCCATGTGTACCAAGAGCTTGCAAATGGGGCATGAAAACGTAGGCTGCCCTTGCTGCCCCAGGGCAGTTACGTCGAGACTGTCCAAGCTCAGCATCAAATCATTAACATACAGTGGCTAGCTACTGGGTCTGAGTTTTTGAGTCCAACTCACTCTATCCAGAAAAAGTAAATAATAGCATTTGAGTGAAACAGAGTGCCCAGCTTCTCAAAACTACTTAGAACAATTATTGCTAAGAGAAGTTTGGCAATAGGGTTTGCTAGGGGAACTTCTTTGCCCCTAAAAACCACACCTCCTAATTTTTTATGGCCTTTATGCCCAAAGAGTCAAGAATCACAAATGTAATTTAAAAAAAAAAATACCAAGTGTCCAAAAGCCAGAAAGAGCCATCTCATGTAAAGTTTGGAGGAGCGGGATCCATTCTCCTGGTCTCAGCAATGTTAGCACAATTGCCACTGGGAATCACCTAAGCAGACTTTGCAGTTAATTCTATTCTCAGAGTAAAATACAACAGAGTTCAAGGAAACCATTTAGGCTTGCTTTTGTGTCTCAGATTTACCAAATAGAAACCTGTCAGCAGGAACTGCCCAGTGGCCAGCACAAAGCCACAGAAAACACACATGCTCGAGCCCCAGCACCCAGACATCCACATTTAATTTTTCTTTTAAAAAGAGCGATGTCCTTACCTTCCCGAAACTCCCTTTACCAATGGCCCGCAGAATCTGGAAGTGGTCAAAGTTGACTGTAAAAAAGGAGAAAGTGACAGTCAGGTCAGGCTTGCCTCTCAGACACGGTGTCCACGGGTTACCCACTTGTTCTGATGGCTTCTGTCCACCGGTGTTATCCATCTCACATCAGCGCCTGGCCACTGAGGCATAGCCTGATGAAGGACATCTCATTTTCTCCCAAACACAGCTAAAATTTCACCATGGGTGCATTGGAGGAGACATCTTGTAGGGACCAAGGTAGGTGACAACAGAAAAGTTCAGCTATTTGGATTTCATATTCTTATGTGTATTTTTCCCTTCTCCCGGCAGAGCTGTCCCCACTGTGCCCCACCCCCACCCCATTCACTCAGCACTCTCACAGTCAGACCACAGCTTGCCTGTACCTACTGTTGCAGTCTCACAGTCTGCTCCTTCCACACAGTGGGTCTTAACACCTAGCATTAAGGCTACTGCAGGCTACTGACCCATACCACCTTCCCGGTCTCACTCTGAATCATTCCACCCCTTGCCCCTTTTAGCTGCTTCTGTGCCTTTACCTTCCAGCCTCACTGACTGGACTCTACCCCATCCTCTGCATCAGAGCAAGTCAGCAAGGCATGGCCATACTGCTGACTGCGTCCCCTATCCCTGTCTCCTCTTGCTTCTGGTTTTCCAACAGGGTTTCATGTAACCCAGAATACCCCTTTTCTCTACCTTTGGAGGGCTGCGATTACAGATGTACCACAATGCCAAGTTTGTGCAGTGCTGGGGGTTGAACCAAGGACTTCGTGCATACTAGGCAAGCACTCTACCAACTGGGATTCACCCTCAGGTTCCCTCTCTCCTTTCAAACATGCCTACTAGGCTTCGATGGCAGAGCTCTCTCTCAAATGCCCCTTTAATGGCTTCTGTAGGCTCAGAGTCCGCCTTCCAGGGGTTGGATGCTGGAATCTGTCTGCTCTCTGTCACACAGCTACTCTCATGGCCTCCAGAGGCTTCAGTGACATGCCAGAGCCTGCCAAAAGTATCCCTAGCCTTTAGTTAGTTTGAACGGATGACTACCACCAGAATAGTCTTGGGGATTCAGACCCACCTTGAACTTCATAGATACAACAGACCCTGGCAGTGTAATGCCTCCTGCTGACCGTGGTTTCAGTAGGCCCAGTAGATGCCTGCTGAGCAGCACCGACCTTCTCAAAGCCAAGGATGCATCTATGGCTCCTTTCCCTCCCAACCCCACATTTAGTCCTTTGTCAGCATGGGTCTATTTTTTTCTCTTTAATCTGTCCATCCTGAGGCTCCTTTGACTTCTACCTTCTTCTGTCACCTGATGTTGAAAGTGTCCTCTCAACCTCCCAGCCCTCCCCTGGGGCACATGTAATAATGGTGATAATCATGTCTGTCCACTGTTTACTCCCTTGCTCTAACCCCTCTATCTTAACCATAGAGAACATACTCCTCCCTGAACAGCATGGTGTCACCCCACACCCCCACAACCACCCTCATGCTGCAGACATAAGTCCTTTCCTTCCTAGTAAAGCTGTCTCTTCTCCATCTGATACTCTTTTCCCAGTGTCCAGTTGTCACCTTGCTGTGTCCTTCTAGGTCCTGCAAGGGGACCGGGCCTGAGTTCCAGCTAAGCATGCAGTCCTGTAGCATGGTAACTTCTACTGAACACACCATTCTGGGTAGCTCAATGGGACTTGATCGTTTTTCTTTGCTAGACGCTGAGTTACCTGGGGCCAGAGGTCATGGTTATTCTATTTGCTGTTACTCCCTTAGCACCTTGACCTTGCTTAGCACACTGTGGTACTCCATAACTACTCATTAACTGAAGGGATGATTGAGTGAGCTAATCTCCATATTCATCGTGCCAAGTGCATAATAAGTCTTTGGTAAATATTTTTGCATTTGACTGAATTACAGCCAGTTCTCAATAACTAGGAAAGACATGCTATTTACGAAGATGAAGGGGATTGATTAGCTCACTGCATAATTGAAGTTGGGGTGTGGAAAGTCAATGAACACAAATAGTCCTTGTATATTAGACTTTGCCAGGCCAAAGCCAGAATCTGGTGAACTGTCAAACCCGACGTGCTTAGAATAGAGAGGTTGGGTTAACAGTTAACTAGCTAAACTTCTTTTCCTTAACACAGCTCAGTTTACTTTCAGAATAACTTACTAGGACCAGAAATTCTTTATTTCTCCTCTTATCCACTCACTAAAGGTTGAGGGAGAAGAAGAAAGCAATGAGCTTGGGCCACAGCACAGGCGGCTGACATGTGCTGGATCGTGTGCATAGCTTAACAACTTCCATGGTTCAGAAAGTAAATGTCACTGTGGGTCTCTACCCACTGCCCTCCAGGCAGCATAGCCAGCTCTGCAGAGGCATGACTTGGGAACTACCAAGACTTAGATGCTGAGGATGCTGAGTCCCTGCCTGGAAGCAGCTCTTTTTCCCTATCAGAAACAACAACAACAAAAACAATGCTGTTGTTCAATTGGTAGAGCTGCTGTCAGAAGATTCCTTTCTTGATAAAAGAGCCAGGCACATGGAAAAAGTTTCTAAGTCCTCTTTTATCATTGGATTTGGAGCTCCGTTGTGATCTTAATGTGGAGCAAAGGGATAGTCATTTATGCCATCAATATAGAGGTTACATTACCTTGATTTGCATCCCATTGCTCAGCAAGTGGATGAGATGTCACTTACATTCTGTGTTCCCTCTTAATACTAGGTATGATAAAAATAACTCCTACTTTTCTCAACACCATGTCAAATGCCTAACAAAAACAGCCAGAGAGTTTAACATTAGTTCAATAATTCAGAGGGAACAGCCCATCATTGCTGGGAAGGTATGGCATCTGGAATAGGCTGGTCTAAGGTATAAGGAACTTGCAGCTTCTCACATGGCACCAAACAAGAATGAGTATAAGCATGGGTAGGCTGTTACCTTCAGGGCGCATCCCCCTGTGACCTCCATTAGCTAGGCCCTCTGTCTCAAAGACTGCATGATCTCCCAAAACACCACCACCAGCTGAGGACCAAGGGTTCTAACACACAAGTCTGTGAGGGTGTGGCAGTTTGCTTCTTGTTACTATAATGAACACAGCCAAAAGAAACTTGGGGAGGAGAGGGTTTATCTCAGCTTACATGTCCTGATCACAGTCCTTCATGAAGGGAAGTGTGGCACCTGGAGGCAGGAGCTGATGTGGAGGCCATGAGGAATGCTGCTTACTAGCTTGCCTATCCTGGCTTGCTCAGCCTACTAGACTACCTGCCTAGGGCTGGCATAACCCTCCATGGGCTGGACCCTTGCAGGGACCCTGGTGCTCACATGGGTTTAGCCAAAAACTAAAGCTGTTTTGAGTAATTTACATGTAAAAATCAGAAAGTCCCCCTGCCCCAACACACACTGCTGCCTGGTATCATATAAGAAAGAACACCGCAAAGTCCTCCTGCCCCAACACACAATGCTGCCTGAACACCACACACCTGTTTGGCCACATCTTTACCTCTTGGTTCCAGACATCTACATCCCTACTGTTTACTGATGACAGATCCAGCCATTCAGGCATGACATGGTTTGGAAAAATGGGTTTGGCCCTGTCTTCGATCCACTGCATCCCTGCAGGGAGCTTGTCACTGGTCTGACAACCCCAGCAGGCTCCTCTGTTTCTCTTCCTTGCTTCTTTGCAGCTGAGCATCCAGGACCATGAGCTTATTCAGCAGCATGCACTGTGGATAAACAACTTCATGTCCCGCAGAATCCCCAGTGTCCTCTGAAGGTGCATCCCCCTGGGACTCCTTGCCAGTGTACAGCCAGGCTCCTGTACAGCCCCAGCCTAGCTCCCTCTACCTGCAGGGCTTAGGCCTTGGTGCCCTACCTTGGCTGCATCCCAGGCCTCAAATGTCTCCTGCCTTCACCAGCCACCCTACCTGTAATTGCCGATAGTGAACAATCAGACCCAACTCCTGCTAGGGTGTGTCCTCCTGGGAAACTGAGCTGGGATGGCATCCACAGAGAACCAGGAATATGTAGAGGGAAGAACATGCCTTGGAGGTCAACAGGCTGCAATCCAATGGGGCAGGGATAGTTTCACATGAGCGAACCTGGGTGATGTGCCAACTTATTTGGAAACATGTCATTCAAATTAGTGCCTTTTTTTTTTCTCCCTTCCTTCCTTGCATCTGTTCTTTCACGGCACTCTCATGTAGCCCAGGTTAGCCTCCACCCCTGTGTGTACTCCAGGATGACCCTCTGATTATAGGCAGGTGCCACCACACCCAGTTAAGTGGTCCTGGGAACGGAACTCCGGCTTCATGCGGTCAGCTCTTGAGTAGGTGAGAGTCAAAGGTAATAGCACTAAAGATGCAGGTCTCAGTTCCAGGCTGGAAGGCCATCACTATGTATCCTCATCCATGGTGAGTAGAAATACAACTGGGTGTTGACTTTGTCTCTCGGCAAGTCATTGGCTTAGTTCAAGACCACAGACTTAAGGTCTTCAGCCAACCTGGAATGGCTAGATCTCCATTAGGAAGAGCCAGATGATGGTGGATGTCCTCCTTCTTTATGTGTGTTTCTCTTATTGGTTGATGAATAAAACACTAATTGGCCAGTAGCCAGGCAGGAAGGATAGGTGGGACTACCAGACGAGGAGAATTCTGGGAAGAAGATGCAGATGGTGAGCCACGTGGGAGATACCATGTAGCTACTGTGAAGATAGAACGTACCACACATTCTCTGGTAAAAATAAGGCCATGTAGAAATACATAGATTAATGGTTATGGGTTAATAATTAAAAGAGAGCTAGCCAGTAAGAAGCCTGAGCCATTGGCCAAACAGTTTATAGTTAATATAAGTGTCAGTGTGTTTATTTGGGCCTGAAGGGTAGGGAACCAGGTAGGACAGAAGCTCTCTCTAGAGCCAGTATCCTGAGAACTATACACACAAGGTCACCATCCAGGGACTCAGCTAACTGGGGCGTTTTAATTTCACTTATATTGATGGGACAAAATACCCTAATTTAAAGAGCT